GCCACTTGGTGAAGTAGTCCATAGCGATCAGTAAGTATCGGTTTCCTTGATCACTTCGTGGGAAGGGCCTTGCGATATCAATGGCTACTCTCTCGAAGGGAGCCCCGACATTATACTGGTGCATTTGCCCACGATTCCTGGTCCGCGGTCCCCGACAGGCTGCACATGTGTCACACTGTCGACACCATTTCTCAATATCGGTTCTTGCTTGGAGCCAGTAGAATCTCTGCCGAACCATATTCAGCGTTTTGTAGTTTAGCATGGAAATGTTAAGAAATATATTTTAATATTTTGAGTTTTCCTTGGCTCTTGCATCGCGACCACAGTGATTTATTGTGCCTCCCCTTCTTTCGAATGAAGCGTAGGATTTTTTACATGGGGACACCGAAATAGTAACTTGGTTCCGTAAAATACTGACCCAAGTGACGCAATCTTAAATAAGCTAAGGCCTCACATTTGCACAAGATATGTGTGGCTGCTTCATTTTCTTCTTGACAGCTCTCACAAGTTGGTCTATTACTTAGTCCCAGTTTGAAGATGTGTCCTTTGAGGTAACGGTGTCCTGTAAGTAGTCTTACAATCCATCGTAGCTGGTTCCTGTTTAACTTCAACAGTTCCTTCGCTCTTTTAGTAGAGGGTCCTCATATGAGTCCCTTTGCTTGCCTGAGTCCAGTCAAGGATCACCAGTACTTCTTGTGAATCATACATATCCAGGCCCCGATTGTCTTTCTGGCGATTCCAATAGAGATGCCACAGGCTTGTTCAGGTTCTGTGAACAGATGTTCAGCTCCAATCTTGGCCAATTGGTCTGTTATTTCTGGCATTTTCTCAGAATGCAGTTTTGGCTTTAGCCTTGGGGTGACAATGATATCCGAATTCTAGCTGTATCTTAGAGTGCTTTAGTGCCTCTTGGTGTCAGTGAAATTGTGTTTTTGTTAGATGATATCAAAAGTAATCCCATCTCAGATGTATTTTCCTGCACCTGAAAACCTCAGTTGACTGTTGTTCTAATGAGTGTAGACTTTTTCTTGTCGATTCTCATACAAGACCCACTGGATTATAGGTTGCACTATTATGCCGTGGTGGCAGGGGGCGTGGAGGTACCCCTCCTTGCCACCACTTATTACGCCGTAAGGGGTTAACACAATAATCCTAGATTACCCTCAGCTAGGATTCTTCTGGTTCTGGACTTCCTTCGTTGCATACAGCTGCCACCATCTTATTACATCTTAAAAAGGGGTGATGAAAGTACTAAGGGCCGGTAGTGCGGTGGTCGAGCGTCTTCTGTTGGCTGGCCCTTTCATGACTGTCACCTCTTATTATTGGCGTAGAGCGGGCGTGTCAGGTCTGAACCGCCTCTACTTATCGACTGTCACACCATATATTGTCCTCTACGACAGGGGTGGATTGGATATCTCACCGCTGTCGCCAATTATGTCTTAGTGACAGTGGGTAGGTTAAATACAACTACTAATTCCTTACGGCTGCCATAAGTAATGCTTCAATGTAAGGGGTGAGTAAAATCACAGTTACTCTTTCTCTAAGTCAGCTACCTTGCGTTGGCCGATCCACACCTCTGCCGTCACTTTGTTATGCTTGAACGGGGTTAGAAATCATTACTAATTTAGTCCGTCGCCACCCTTTCCGTTAGGATGTTCGCTGCATTCGGCCGCCGTCGACTGCCTGGGGTCAGTTCCAGCTCTTCGCTTGGGACTGGGAAACGGAGGGGTTTGTGAGGGTGAATTCTAACTCTCGGTACAACCTATCCTATTTACACTCGTCTATTTACAATAAAAGAATGCCGACGTCTGTCGGTTTACACATGGTCTCGTTGCGTTAATAGTTCTGATTTACATTCTAATCTCTCGCTTAGAGCAGATGGCTCGAGACTCTCACTGTATCATTACTATTACTCGATACCATCTCTGTCCTACCCTAGGTCCCTGATCTATTTACACTTTAATTCGTATTCTATTTACAGTATTAATAATACCGACTCTCAGTAGGGAGTACATCATCTCTATACGTCGTCAGGCTATCGTTTCATCATAATCTCCCCTTCTGGGGTGTAAGACTGAATCTGTCTCTCTCTTTCTCCTTACTGTTTCGACTCATTTTGCATTTCTCCACTATCCTAGCATAAAGTTTCACCCTTAACTTATTCTGCCCCTAAAGTTATACATATTGAAAGCCTACATATATTTATCACAAAAATCAGTAGTCGTAACTATAAACACAAATGTGCGTGATCTGCACACTACCAGTAATCATAACACTCTATCTAACGCCTACCATCTTTACTACACTAGCAACCTTGCCTATTACTTGTTACATGGTTTCTAATATTCCACCATAAGGGCTCGCCGGGCACACTGGACATTGCTTTCACATTTAACAAACAACACTTTTATCAAAAACCATAAAGTTTAACAGCATGGCTAGTATGCGTAAACGTGGCTTACTTGAAATAAGAGATGCAGGCTGAATTCCACCACTTGTAAGACCCATATCGAATAGAGCCTCCGGCTGACAACTGGTTATTACGTTTTTAGATCAGATCCCCATTGAGTTTTCTTTCCATTTTTATACACTAATTTTGCTGGCGCTGCAGTTGGCGAAAGAGGGAGGTTCACTCCTCCTTTCGTCCTCAATTTCTAAAGTGGTATATTCTAATTGGTTAAATCCGACTTGTCGCGGACAAAACGTGGCGCCGCCCTCTTTGCATTTTTTAGTTCGCGGTCTCCCAGTGTTTACAACGTCACTTCTAAAGTGGAGCGATTGCGCGCCCTTGCTGACTATAACATTCTTGACCTCGATCGCCTGGCCAAGTGTCGCCATTCTAGCTTGATTGCTGTAAACGCTTTTCGTAATGTTTAGGCAATGTTTTTTTTAGTCTCGAAATTGCGGCGCAATATGCACTATGTCCTTTTGGGCCATATTCAGGTACAGTCTCATCTTGGGAATCCAGATATATAGCAGTATTCTTTCTGTCATGCAGAACAAACTCAAAGTTGCCTTTGTACTGCTGTACAGAAGTTTCTGACTTTGTAAAGAATTTCCTGTATATGTAAGTTTTGAGGTTTTCACGGCGATGACTATGAGGAAAGTCGTTTTCTGGGTTTAGGCTCCGTGTATTCTTAGTTTTGTCCGACGTTTCGGAGGAACGTATCGCCTCCATCTTCAGAGCAGGTGAATGGCCTGGAATGCAGAGAGCAGTAGCTGTAGTGATAGGAAGTGAAAGGCGCTGCTTATATACGAAGTAGGGGGAGGGGGGGTGGTTAGGGAGAGCGGGACAATAGGAGCAGTGGAGAGCGATTAAGGCCATATATGGTGTTATGTGCTAAGGGAGGGGGGGAACGGCCAGTGAATCCAGGAAACTGGAGGTCAATACCACTAGGAAGTTGCGGTAGACAAGAAGAACCGGTTGGTTGGGGACAGGCTACTGACATCAATTACATGATTACAGGGTACAGGCTACTGACGTCAATGACATGACGTAGAACTGGTGTGGCTTCTTGGATTTCTCTTGAGGGAAGAGATGAGAGGCTTCCATGACTTGTTGAGACTGAACCCTGTTTCTTTGTTCATGTTGTTCGGATGGAGCTCGATCTCTACGGCCTCCATGATTATGCGGTCTAGGTAACGGCTCTTACTGGTGATTATGGCGGTTTTGTGAAACTGCATACGGTGGTCTAGCTCGATGCTGTGTTCAGCTATGGCTGACTTGTCCGGATGTTCTAATCGTAAATGCCGTTGACGTTCTTTCAACCTGGTGTCCACAGAACGGCCCGTCTGCCTGATGTAGACCTTGCCGCACTCGCATGGAATTCTATAAATTCTCGGTGTCCTCAGTCCCAAGTGATTCTTGACAGGCCGGAGGAAATTAGATATTTTCTTTGGGGGCAGGCCAACTGATTCGATGTTGTGTCGGGACAGCACTCTGCTGATCCTGTTGAATATAGTCCCGACAAAGGGCAAGAAGGCGACAGTTTCTCTGCGGTCATCATGTTGATTGCTGTTGGGATGGCGGTTGAGGGCCCTGTGGATCTGCCGGTCGTTATAGCCATTGCGTCTGAAGATGTCCTTCAGGAACTCCAACTCCGCACGCAGACTCTCTTGATCGCACAGAGCTCTGGGCCTGTGTACCACTGTGGACAGAGCTGCCTGTTTACTGGAAGGGTGATGATGGGACCTGGCACTGAGATAGAGGTTGGTGTGTGTGGTTTTGCGGTATACTGTATGGCCTAGAGAGCCGTCGGGTCTCCTGTAAATATCTATGTCTAGGAAGGGGAGCTGGCCTTCACTTTCGGTTTCCATGGTGAACTGAATGCATGGGATGATACTGTTTAAGTGGTTCAGGAAACCCTTCAGGTTGTCAGGTCCGTAGGGCCAGATGACGAAGGTGTCGTCCATATATCGAAACCAGCATAGGGGCTTGAGTTGGACCAAATCCAGCGCCCTCTCCTCGAAGTCCTTCATGTAGAAGTTGGTGATGACCGGAGATAGTGGAGAGGCCATGGCTACACCGCCAGTCTCTTCGTAGAACTGGCCATCGAAGCTGAAGTAGGACGTGCTTAGGACATGGCGAAAGAGTCTCAAAACATCTTAGGCGTAGTTTCCTCGTAGTAGATCCATAGTGTCCTTGATTGGCACTTTGGTGAAAAGCGATACCACATCGAAGCTAACCATCATATCATAAGGGTTTAATCGGAGGGATTTTATGGTGTGGACAAATTCGGCAGAGTTTCTCACGTGGTGTGGGGAGTCACAGGTGTAGGAGTTAAGTAGGCCAGCCAAATGTTTGGCCAAATGATAGGTTGGGAGCCAATGGTGCTGATAATTGGTCTTAATGGTATGTCATGTTTGTGTATTTTGGGCAACCCATAGTCTCGGTGTTCTGGAACATTGTGGTCGTAGTTGTTGGCAGATCTCTTCAGGGAACGAAGACTTCTTTAGGAGAAGCAAGATCTTGCGCTCTATGGTTTCAGTGTGATCCTTTTTCAGCTTCTGTAGGTCTTATCCTCTAAGAGAGCAGCAATCTTCTGTTTGTAGTCAGAAGTGGCCGAAACCACGGCAGCATTACCTTTGTCAGCCGGAAGAACCGTGAGCGTCTCGTTCGATTTTAAGGCTCGGAGAACTCTTCTCTCGGCACCAGTGAGTTTGTCCTTGGGTTTGTTTGAGTCCTTGAGGATCCTGACTGTCTCCTGTCGAATCTCCTCTGCAGTCTCTTCCGGTAGGGCCATTACAGCCTTTTCAACCCCGCACAGGATGTCCTTAACTGGGATAGAACTAGGGGCTACCGCAAAGTTCAGGCCCTTGCTCAGAGAAGAGTAAGCCGCTTCTTCCAAGGGTACACCACTTAGATTGACCACAGTCTTCCTGTTCTCATGAAGTTTGGGTGGATGTTGTGTCTTCTGCAAGTTGATGAACTTCTTGCACTGTCTGGCTCTAGCTTGGTCACCGATATTAGCAGCTTTCTGGGTTGTGATGCGGTCGGTTAGGTACCAATCAACTGCGGACAGGACTCGGGCTAAGAGAAGATGTAACTTAATCAGCTCTCTTGAGACAGCGTCAAGTTCTCGCCTTGTGTAGTGGATGCGTTCACGTAGCATAGAGAAGCTGGTGCGTCTGTAGATCCTTTTGGCAGCCTCAGAGGTTATGTGGTGTTGGAACTGAAGGAAATGAGGTATGATGCCATGTTCTCTGCATCTAAGGAGGAAGGGAAGGTTGCACAGTAGCTTGGACTTCTTGGTACGCAGCGTCTCGAGTCTACGAGTGTGTCGATGGGTAGCCTCCCCATAGAGGAATACTATGTAAGTTTTCAGGTTTTCACGGCGATGACTATGAAGAAAGTCGTCTTCTGGGTTTAGGCGCCGTGTATTCTTCGTTTTGGCCGACGTTTCGGAGGAACGTATCGCCTCCATCTTCAGAGCAGGTGAATGGCTTGGAATGCAGAGAGCAGTAGCTGTAGTGATAGGAAGTGAAAGGCGCTGCTTATATACGAAGTAGGCGGGGTGTGGTTAGGGAGAACGGACCAATAGGAGCAGTGGAGAGCGATTAAGGTCATATATGGTGTTATGTGCTAAGGGAGGGGGGAACGGCCAGTGTATCCAGGAAACTTGAGGTCAATAGCACTAGGAAGTTGCGGTAGACAAGAAGAACCGGTTGGTTGGGGACAGGCTACTGACGTCAATGACATGATTACAGGGGACAGGCTACTGTCGTCAATGA